TTCCGGGGTGACTCGGCCTCCTCCACTCGAAGCCTCGGCTGTCGTGGTCCCCACCTGCCCAGTCTCAATCCCCTGGACCCTCCTCAGAGGCCACCCTCCTCTCCACTCTAGGTCCTTCTTAAGATGTGTTGCTGTCATAAATGATCCTATTTACCTGTTAGTTTCAATGTTTGCTGTCCAACCTCCCTACTCCCTCCTCTGTCCCCAGCGGGAGGGGTGTGTGTCACAATGACCAGGCTGGGGATAGGCAACACCAGCCTCGAAGGCAGGATGGCTCTGAGCAGGGCCTTTGGGGCCCAACTCTGCCACTTACTAGCTGTGTGGCTATGGACAACTCACTCACCCTCTCTGTGCCTTTCCAAGCTCAACCGTGAAGGAGGATCCTCCTGGCGTCCCTCTCAGGATGGACACATTTTGGAAAAGTGCTCAGGGCACTGGGCGGGGTGATGCCTGTAAGGGGCTGTTCTCAGAGGCCATGCCTCCTGCCCGGCTCCTCCTGGTGACCTGCAGGTGGCAGCACCAGACCCCTGTGCCTGGAGAGACAGACTGCACTGCCACCCCCGCCTTGGGCCCTGCTTGCAGGAGCCTAGGTCGGGAGAGGTGCTGGTCTTGGGGGGCTGCCGCCAGGTGAGGTGACAGGAGGAGTGGGGAGGGCTGGGTTTTCACAGTGGGCGGGGCCACTTGAGGAGGAAAGGGCAGCCTTCGGCCAGGACGGGCAGCAGGGTGGCCTTCAGCTTGGGAAAGCCAGGTCCTGTGGGCCTGACTGCTGGTCAGCATTCTCTGACTGGCATCTGACCTGACCAGGAAGGCGTCCCTCACGTAGCTGGCAGCCCCTCAAATGCCATCTATTTGTGGCCTGTACCCTGCCGCCTGGCAGGAGACATGTGACTGCAGGGCTGTGGTATTTTGGGCAATGGGGGTGGGGCCTGCGCAGCGAGCCCTGCACCATGCAGTTCTGGGACAGGCGGCTTGGATGCCCAGCTCCGCTGCCCCGGCTGGCTGTGGGATCCCAGGTACAGTACTGTCAGCCCCTCATTCCCACCCTAAGCGGTCCCAAGGCAGACAGCCCCCACTGGGACCTCCCCTAGGACCAGAGGGGAGGACGAGGCACAGCGGGGTCAGGAAGCCGCAGTGCCCTGGTCTCAAGGCACCTCCATCTCAGGACATGCCTGGCCAGAGTGACCTCCCACTGCCCTGGGTCCAGTGGCAGCTGACCAAGGCCCAAAGGGCAGCCCCCTGCAGGGGGCTGAGAGGTTAGGGGGTGTCAGCCAGGTAGGGTTGCCTTAGTTCACTGAGACACAGGGAGGGGACCTCTGCCGGCTGGGCAGATCTGGTCAGGGGCACAGACACTGAGGATGGCCCCGGGGGGGCTGGTGGGAATCAGAAGGCTCATTTCTGTTCTGGGACCTCCTGCCCAGGCAGGGGCAGAGCCAGGCTCGCCCTGATGACCCCTGAGAGGGCTCTGGCCAGCACTAGCTTGACCTTGGTAAGCTCAGAGGAAGCCCAGGAGTCTGTCCCAGCCAAGGCTGGTGGAAGGTCATCACCAAAGACTGGTCACCTGCTGGACACTGCGGCTCCTCTGAGGCATGTTGGGATAGTCCGGCACTGACTGTCGCCCAGGTAAACTGAGCCCTGGTGGGTGGTCCTTGAAATGGGCTTTGGTATATAGAGTTGGCCTCGGCACCAACAACTCTGCAGGAAAGCTGGAGGCTGACCCAGCTGAACAGAAAATGCATAACGTTGTGGAGGAAAACTCCTCCTGGGGATGAAAACTCAAACACGAGGGCCCCTATACTTTAGGGAACTTCACTAACCTGAATGCAGGACTGTAGCAATACGTCACTGTAACGTTATCATTTGCAGTCAGTTTGGGAGCACAGAAGGTGGGTTTCGGATGTTCTAGCTCCAGGAAGCCATCAGGTTTGAGATCAGCACAGCTTCCCTCTGGATTCTCTGTTTGTTCTGCTTTCTTTCAGGACGGAGATGGAGTGCTGGCCCCTGAGCCAGGGAGGCGTGGGATGCCGCAGGGGGCAGGTGGGGTGGGGGCAGTGTGTGCTGGCCAGGGCCCTGGGCCTGGGCCCATGAAGAGCCTGGTCTGTGGTTCACGTGCCTCTGCTGACCCAGAATGGAAAGCTTCCAGTGCAGTGTCCAGCTGAATGGCCAGGACCGGGCTGAGTTTTCAGCCGCTGCTGCAGAGTGTGGCCTCCTGCGGGCCGGCCTGGCCTCTGGGCATGAGCTCTTGTCCAGTGACACTGACCAAAGGGACAGCAGTGGCAGCAGCCCCCCAGGGCCCCTGCCCCTTCCTGAGGGGCAGCTGGCTCCCAGGGGGAGTGACCGGCCTGGCTCTGAGGGGGAGAAGGTAGCCACCCGGCAGCTGGTCAGCAGGTCTTGGCATGAGCCCGTGCTGGCCCCGGAGGCTGGTCAGCAGACGCCCAGCGTGTCCGTGCGGCCAGAAGCTCAGCCGTCCCTCAGCCCTGGTGCTGCCCCTCTGGTCCAGGGCTCATCCCTCCCGGGGCCAGTGTCTTCCAGAGGCGAGAGGCAGAGGCTTCTGCAGGGGCCAGCCCCCTGGGGTCTTGCCCCTACTCTCACGGGTGAGCCTGCTCAGAGCCCCGATTCCACCGGCCGCAGCGCTGCCCCCCAGAGGCCCCCTGGCAGCCCTGGAGCCCTGCTGCGCAGCCCCAGCCAAAAGAAGAGGCGGGCTGCAGGCACCAAGGTGGGTGGGTGCTTGGGTGACCCAGGCCCTGCTCCCACCCAGCTGGGCTCCCTACTGCTCACTGAGGCCGGGGCCGAGGACAGCCTTGGCCTGGCTGGGTCCAGGGGGAAGGGTCTCCGGGTGGGGGCCACAGGGCAGACAGCAGGAGCTGGGCAGATCGAGCTGGGGCCAGAGTCTCCAGAAGCCCCTGAGCAGGTGGCCAGGCGAGGGCCAGGTGTGGATCTGTCTGCATCTGTCCCTACCACTGAGCAGGGTACAGACCTAATCGGAATGACCCTCAGAACTGAGCCACGCACTGTATCCACGTTTGACCTTGAGGCTTCTGTAGATGTCACAGTGGCTAAGTCAGACGTGGCTTTGTCCACACCCACCTCTGAGCCTCAGCCCGATGAGCCTCTGTCTACACCTGCCTCCGAGCCTGGACTGGATGTGGGCCTGCTTGTGCCAGGTCCAGGGGTCCAGCTGGAGGTGGATTCATCTACGCCTGTCTCAAAGGCTATTCCCCGTATAGCTCTGCCTCACCTGGTTTCTGAGGCTGGGTCTGATGTGGGTGTGTCTACACCTGCTCCCATCCCCGAGGCTGGGCCTGACGCGGCGGAGCTGGATGTTGCCCCAGTGGCCAAGCTGGGTTTGAGCCCTATTCGGTCTCCAGAGGGGGGCCGACAGAAGCCCAGAGGGGAGCCCTCAGCAGGTGCCCCTGGACACCGCACTGGGGAGCCCCCGCTAGGCCCTATCCAAGCCCCCAAGAAGAAGAAAGTGCGATTCTCCATGGCTGTGCCCAGCCCCGAGGAGCCAAGGTCAGGCGAGGCCTCGGGCCCAGCCTTCCCAGCCACAGCCCCCAGGACAGCAGCTGGGGCCTGCAGGGCGTCTGGAGCCTGGGACACTGTGGCAGTTGGGCCCCGGACCCCCCAGCCTCGGATCCTGAAGCACCTGCCCCCCCCTGCCCCCTCTGCCTCAGCGCGGCCTGGGCGCAGCTGCTGCTTTGCGGTGACCCTCCCAGAAGCCTATGAGTTCTTCCTTTGTGACACCATCGAGGAGGAGGATGAAGACGTTGGGGAGGAAGCAGAGGCTAGCCAGGCTCTGGCCGAAGCCCAGTGGCCGGGCGTGTGCGAGTTCTTCCAAGATGGCCAAACCCAGAGGTTGAGGCACCGGGAAGGCCACTCCCAGGCCCCAGCCCTCCAGGCTGAGCCTATGCCGGCCCCTCCACCAGGAGATCCCACACCCATCTCCATCCCCGAGGCCTACGAACACTTCCTCGGGGAGGACGTGTCAGGGGGCATGCTGGGGCCGGCTGCCCTTCTCCAGATGCAGGCCACGGAGCCCCCCAGGTCAGTCCCCTGGGACGTGGGGACTGGCAGCCCACCAGGGCCCAGCCCAGCCTCAGCGGAGCAGCTTGCCCCGGCCATCAGGCAAGCAGGTGTGTGTTGCGGGGACCCCGTGGCCTGTCCAGGACCTGGGTACACACTGTCCAGGGAGTTGGGCCAAGAGGGCCACTGGGGAGGGGCAAGCCAGGACCCTGGGTTGCGAGCTGGTGGGGGCCCTCAGGGATGATCTGGGCAGGAAGGACCAGCTCCTGGCCACCCCAGGACCCGGTCCAGGTGGGGCAGCCCCAGTCGAGCAGGGCTTTGGCTCCACACTGACAGTTGCCCTGTGTTCAGGCCCAGGTAACAGCAGTGCCTACCCCCAGCCTGTAGCAGGCAGGCGTTGGGGCAGCTCCAGCTCAGGCCATGCCGCCTGCCAGAGCAGGCTCGCATTCCCCCTGGACGATATTTTACAAACCAGGAAACGGTGCCCCAGACATACTCGCCCAAGTCAGCCTGACTCAACTATGCTACCCTGTATCACGGGGAGGATGTGACTCAAGACAGACATGTCTCAGGACAGACATGGCCAGGAGAGACGTGTCCCAGGGCAGGTGCGTCTGAGTGGGACAACGGCAGGGGCTCAGGGCATGCTTCTCTTTCCTAGGGGAACCCCGGCGTCCCCTCACCTCATTTACCTTCAGCCAGAATGACATGTGCCTGGTGTTTGTAGCCTTCGCTACCTGGGCTGTGAGAACATCAGACCTGCATGCCCCAGATGCCTGGAAAACAGGTTTGTGGGCCCAGGGGGCGGGGGGCTGGTGTCTAGAAGCCAAATGGAGGGGCAGTGGTGGTGTCCCAGCTGCTGGGCCAGCAGGGGTGAGGGGCACATGGGGAGGCGCAGGTGTCTCCCCTTACGGGTCTCCTGCGTTGCTGACCCACCCTCGCCCCGCTGGCCTCCTCCCATCCTTTTTTTTTTTTTTTTTTTTTTTTCGGTATGCAGGCCTCTCAC